TAGGAGGCCCCGAGACCGACCCAGGACTCTAGAGGGATTATAGATCCTCCCTGGGACTGAGGGTAGTCTCTGGGGACAGGGGGATCTGGGTTTCTCTCCTGGACCTGGTTGTGGATCAGCAGTGGTGTTTGTCTTCATCAGTGCTGTAATCTGACGGGCTTGAACCACCGACCTGGCCGTGGAGGTTTGGTCGGGTCCATCAGGGACGTTAGATCTGTCCCGGTTTCATCTCTCCACTCGTTTATCACGGCCGGTTCTGATCCAGAAGGCTGAGTCATTAGAAACAGACAACAGCTCCTTAGTGAAGTGAAATCATTTTATTAATCAAATCATCCTAATGAGTGGTTCTGGTTCTGGTCCTGGTCCTGGTTCTGGTCCTGGTCCTGGTTCTGTTCCTCCTCTCCCACCGGCTCCTCTGGGTTCTGCTGCTTCTCTCCATCTGAAGATCTCTCTCAGAACTTTGACGGTTCCACGTGGAGTTTTGTCAACAATCGGTTCTTCTGACAGACTGAGCGACACCGGACCTGACAGAGAGGTGCATTCTGGGAGTTTGGACTGGATCACTGTTTATCATTTAACTTTAAATTTGGATGTTTCTGATTCAGGAAACAACATAAAACAGAACCAAAAGGTCCGAACTGTCCCTTTAAATTAGGTGGAACATCAGTCTCACATCTCATGTTGGTCCAGGTCCAGGTCCAGGTCCTGGGTAACGGGTCACGAGTCTCCCTAATGATCCAGCAGCCTGTCAATCATTTCTGCAGAGAAACAGGAAGCTAAATTGTTGTTGACAGGAAGTGGATGGAGGTCTGTCCCTCGGGCGATTATGTGTACTTGAGGCACCCCTCAGGGCTTGGGTCCCCCCCCCCCCCACACACCCACACACACACACACACACACACAACATTCAGACTGTCTCACCCCCTCATCATCAGTCAGGAGGAACCTGCAGGGAGAACTCTGGAGGAAGCACCTCCATGTTTCCGATGAAACTTTTTGGTTCTGTCGGCAGACAACGTGTTGTTGTGCAGGGAGGACTGACCCAGAACCGACCC